GTCACCAAAGCGTCTGGCTTGCACCCTCTGGAGCAGAGGCCTGAGACACACCTGGGGCCCTTTTAACCACAGCTAGAGCTAGAGTGGCTGGGACACAGGCAGCAGTGTCCTGAGGTTGCACAGGGCAGCAGGGCCCTGGGTCTGGCCCATGAAACCACTCTTCCCAAATCCAAACTATATCAGGAAGGAAGAGGAGGAAGCTAACTAGGAGATGGAAGAACTGGGCACAGAACAAGAGGCAGGACCACACAACACTGGGATGCACAGCCAGCTGTGTGTTTGCATCTTAACCCATTTAATAGCCATGTGGCCTCAGCAGTAGCTCCCCACTCAGTTTCCTCATCTCTCAAGTGATAATAACCTCAGTACCATTGAAAGGAGAAAACAAGTTATATTTGCAACACCTTTGGAAAGTGTGTGGCACATATTGTGAATTATATAATCAACATACACATCAAGAAGTGCCTGGCATTAACCAGGGTTCAAAAAGTGTTTACTGAATGAAAATCATTTGTGTGTTATTTGGGCTTTGATGATTATATTGGTAGGAAATACCCATATCTCCAATTGTACAACTCCATCCTTGCATCATCACAAATCATGCCCCAATAGAGAAAAAAAAATTTCAAGAATTGTCAATGACTTTCTTCACATCTAGTCTGTGCCCACATCCCATTGCATTGTTTCCAGCCTCTGAAGACACAGGGGAAATGAAAGTGGCCCCTGCTCTCTCATTGCACAAAGAACCACCTCAAGTTCAAGTACCAAGATTGCACTACAAAGTGGCTACCGCAGCCTGGTGGGTTGATGGGTGAACCTGGCCCCACACAGAATGGAAAATACATTCACACAAACATCTCGGTCAAACCTGTCCAGACAGAAAAGCTAGAAAAGACTCATTGAAAAGGAATTCAAATTGGGCATGGTGGCTCACACCTGTAATCCCAGCACTTTGGGAGACTGAAGCGTGAGGGTTGCTTGGGCCCAGGAGTTTGAAACCAGCCTGGGCAACATAGTGAGACCCTCTCTCTGCTAAAAAGAATTTAAAAATTAGCCTGGCATGGTGGCACGCACCTCTAGTCCTAGCTACTCGGGAGGCTGAGGTGGGAGGATTAGATTGAGCCCAGGAGGTAAAGGCTGCAGTGAGCAGTGATTGTACCACTGCACTCCAGCCTGGGCAACAGAGCGAGACTCTGTCAAAAAAAATTAATCTTTAGCAAAATTAAAAAGCTTCTGACCACAAAGAGAAACATCTATGTCACTGGAGCTGAGAATTAGGAGAAATAAAAATAAGACAGTGGGAATCAAAGACAGGAGAGAGGATGATGCGAGATGATGGAAGCCTCTGTCCTGGGAGCAAAGCCCCAGCTGACCCAGAGTGGGAAGGGCCCAGCAGCTGGATCTGGAGGCGAGGAAACACCCAACAGCACTCAGGGGACCAGAGGATGAAGGAGCTGCTCTCCACGCTCTCAGGGAAAAGCAGGGACATTTCAGGCCCAAAGAAGAAATGAGTCTCAGTAGTGAATCCATAGACAGGGCTATGTCTCAGTCACTTTGAGTGAGTCTAGATGGGCACAGTGCTTGTCCCTCACTCTGAGGTCACAGGAGGGTCTGAGGACTTGGGACTGCTCATTTCTCCCAGACCATGGCCTTCCTTTGGCAATGGACTTAGTGCTGGGACTAAATTAGACCCCAGTTTTATCAACTAATTTATTAGGCTTTGTTATTTTGCTGCAAATTTGTTCAAAACCAAAAGTATTGATGGAGGAGAAAATCACAAGCCTGGCAGTCCTGACCTCTTTGGATGCAGAGCCGCATGACATTAAAAATTCCAGACAATATTTATGCTTCTCTATAAGATACGTGTTATTAGTCCTCATCTAAACACATTTGTAAACATAACTTGATGTAAGTTACATACAATATGTCACTGAAAATACATAAATTATGGTACCCTCCAATGATTACTTAAAAATTAAAATAGAACAATAAAGCAACCTTTATCTATGCAGAGAAAGCCAGGATCCGTCTGTCACTGATTGCTGAAATATATTCTACACCTTTCAAGGACAATCGCTGAAGGAGAAAGTCAAACAGATGATTTCCTAGAAGTTAAAAGGGGAAATATTTGTGCTGGGTTCCTTTCTCCTCAAATGATGGTTTAGGCTGCAGGGGACTGGGGTGGGGAGGGGTTGACATTAGATAATCACAAAAAGAAAGAAATAGAGACTAGAAGATTTCATGCTGAAATAAAGAAATTCATGTTGCCTTAAATATAATTTGTGTTAGTTACATTTCAATTCCTAATTTATACATAGCAGGGTTGATAAAGAATTGCATTATAACGAAATTAGCTGGAATAATTAGCATAGTGTATGTGCCACTGATTAAACACCCAGCAGATAGCTTGGTAATTAAGATCAGTGAGTGTCGTATTTTGAGGCTTTGTCATCTTATTATCTGCCTAACAAGTGCTTCATCTTTACCTCCCTTCTGATTTGAAGTTTGATAGCAGTCTCTAATAATTCTCGTTTTGTTTCTTTAAATTGCCTTGCCCCAGTGCTGATCATTTTCCTATGGTCACTACCCCCCATTTCATTGTACCTACACAAATGTACCAGTGCTAGATTTCTCCCTACATGTAAGATATTTGATGCTGCAAAGTATTCGTGCTTGGAAATTTAAGCTCCAAAATCTCCTTCAAAACCCCCAGTTCTTGGGCCAAAGAAAGAAGCTGAGACCAATTATACTCTGCAGTTCGGTCAAGCCTCTGAACAGCAGGCAGATGTTCGGAGTTCGGAGTTCCCTTCTGGGCAGAGTCCATTACCAGAGATTCCAAGGATGTCTCCATCGGGGTCCATTTGTCAGGGTCTGTGACACTAAAAGGCAGTCACTCCAGTGGCACTGGCTGCTGCTCATTCATGAGCCCAACCTGTGGTGCCATTGCTCCTCCACTCGGGGAGTCTGGAGTTGGCTCTTGTCATTAAAAAATCCATTGGGGTTTTATCATAGAAGGCAGGGCATTACTATTATCAAAGAATAGAAGGCTTGGGAGGATCAACTCAAGTTCTTCACTGGCTGAGCCATTCCCCCTGCACCTCCTTAGACTAAAACCAGGACATTTCCATGATTGAAAGGCAGAGTAAATACACTAGCTGTATCAATCAAGAATGCCTTCAGCTGTAACAGAAAACACACAGAAAGTGCTTACGGCATAAAGACAAGAGGTCTGGTGGCTGGGGTTCCAGAGCTGGGGCAGGGGTTCAGAAATGTCATCCCCTGTCTCTCTCCCACTTTCCGTCCCACTCTCCTTTGTGTGATAATCCTTCATTTCATGTCTCTTGCTTCCCGGCTGTGATGTGGCTGCTGCACCTCCAGATACCATGTCCATGTTTAAGGAAACAAGAACAGGAAAGAGAGATGCCAGCCACTTCTGTCCTTCTTGATCAGGAAAGCAGGTAACTTCCCAGACTCACCCCCGCAGCCCATGCCTGCTACCGCCAGCCAGAATTGGGTTGCAAGGGAGACTGGACATTGAGTAGCAAGCAAAGGAGACTGTGACTGACATTACCGACCTAAATCAACGTGACTCATCCCCAGGGACTGGGCACAGTGCTCCTGCCAAGAAAGCCAGGCCTTGTTGGGCAGGTGGAAGGAGAGTGGATGTTGGGCAGGAACTACAGTGCCTGGCACCTCAAGTGCAGATGGAACAGAAGCTGGAAAATCACACAAAGGAGCTGAAAGGAGGAAGAGGGTATATTAGTCAGTGTTCTCCAGAGGAACAGAACCAACACTATGTAGGGAGAGACAGAGAATTTCTCTTCAAGAATTGGCTCATACTATTGTGCAGTCTTGATAAATCCATCATCAGCAGGGTGGGCTGACAGGCTGGAGACCCAGGGAAGACCTGAGGTTGAGACCAAAGGCTGTCTGCCGCCAGAATTCCTTCTTGCTCAGGGAAGGTCAGTCTTTGGTTCTAATCAGACCTTCGGCTGACTGATTGAGGCCCACACCACATTAGGGAGGGCCATTGGCCTCACTCCAAATCTGCCGGTTCAAGAAATTCCAATCTGATTCCAAAACACCTTCATAGAAACATCTAGACTAGCGTTGGGCCAAGTCTCTGCACACTGTGGTCCCGGCCAAATTGAGACAGAAAATTAAGCACAGGGGAGGAGAAAGTGGGGAATGGAAAAGGTGGCAAGATGTGAGGCAAGGCGAAGGAGGCCCTGTAAGCTCCACGGCCTTCACTGGGCCCTCAGAGACCACAGTACACTTCATGTCAGCAGAGAAGCTGCAGGAACAGCTGTGCTTAGGCACAAGTTGTCATGCAGAGACCCAAGCACACTGAAGACACAGGTAAAGGAGAGAAAGCCCCACCTCTGCCCCTAGGAGTGCACAGAAATCCACCTGAGGTCTCTGCACTTCCACAAGTCATGGAATTATAGGCTTTGAGCCAAGTTTACCAGCCTTGAGGCATGGGGACGTCGCAGGTAATATTTAGGTTACTTTTTTCTCACTTCTGTGATGCTTTTGTCTTCCTGAGATCAGCCAGTCCTTCTCTGAATTTGGAAACCAAAGATTCCATTCTATTCTATGCAGTTTGAGGCATGTCCAATTTACAGGTGACCAGACGCTCCTTTTAGAGGAAGTGAAGGAACACAAGGGGTAGAATATTAGAAAATATTCCTTTCTGCAGAACTGAGGTCCAAGCCCAGGGCCAGGAAGAGGTTTTCAAAGTTTCAGGAGAGAGCCTCACTTTTGATAAAAGAAGACATTATTCCACAATACCCATGAAAGCTCTCTTTGAAAATATTGTCTCTCCTTCTTGCACCATTCACAAACATGTCTGCTGCCCCCATCTCTAGAATAATCCTTCGCTGAGGCCTCTGAAAAGATTACTTCACACCTCCCTGCTGGCAGGTGGCCCTCCCCAGGGACTGTAAGAGGAGCCAGGGTGCTGCTACTTATAGCAGCCCTCACGCCACTCTCGCGGACAGCTGCTGATTTTGGAGTCACTTTAGAGGAAGAAAAGAAGGGCTGGTCCCTGCACAAACGACACAACAATGTCCAACTCGGATTACCTTCCCGACTACCCACTCAACTCAGATTTAGTGAAGAGATTAAAGTCTGCCCTGGATGCCAAAGATGAGGAGAGAGTGGGGGATTTAATCTGCACTGAAGTCACGCCCGTGGACGCCGTGATAGAACTGGCCAATGACGACTGGATGAAAGACCCCTCGGCTCAGCTGCCCCCCGGCATGCTGCTAGGTAACCAGAACGAGCCTGCTGCATCTGGGACTTTATTACTAAGTTACGCTGATGGGTGGGCAGATCCTGGAGGTAGAGGGGCAAATGTTTGAAAAAAGCAAATGATATGTACTTGGGTATCTGACTCTCATACATACATGCATACACGCGTACTGCATACTGTACATGCGTGTGCTACATAAGCAACAAGTGCAAGACAACACAAAAAAACTAACCCTTGGTGCCATAATCCACCACAGTGGCTGCTCTGTGGCTCCATTGTTTTCCAAGCTTGTCCATTTGCATGTGTAAATTTCACCCACGGATAACCATATCATACACATAATTGTGTGTTCTGCTCCCCTGAGATCTAAAAAATCTAAAGTATCTTCTATGTTGCCAGTCTTCCTAATTTCAATCCCCTATTGAAATACTTAAACCAAATGCCTACAAAAATATAATATTTGGTTACCTTTTTGCTTCTATAAATAATGCTGTAACGAGCATCTTTATTAGGATTCATATGGCTTTTTTCTTATTTGGGATTATATCCTTACCATAAATTCCTAGGAGCCATATAACTGGAACAAGAACATAACATTTTTTCAAAGTGTATTGTTTCTAAATTGGTTCTGAATTGTTTTCCGCAAGGGTTTCTATTCCCTCTGACAGTGAGGTGATGTGTTTTGCCACAGCCTCACCATGGAGCATCGCTGGTAATGAATGTGTGTATTAAATTGCCATTTAATAAGCATACACTGGTAATTCTTCACTGCCTGCGCCCATCCTTTCTTTGCAGGTCTGGACGAAGTCTTGTCCACAGGATTTTTTCTTTGTAGGCCTCATCAGGTGCAAGACTTGTCTATTTGGGTCTTGGGCAGGAACTCTCCATCTCTTAGAATCATTTTTATCATTTTGTAGGACTTCTTTATGTAGCAATAGAAATCATCCCTTTGTTGTGCTTCCTGAAAGCGTTTTCCTGACCTGTGATTTACTTTTAGTTGTATTGTGCTGTTTCCCAGCTTGTCAGATTAGGGGACGAGGTTAGTCTTGGCCCCTAAGGGACGCTGAGGGCTCCTCTTCACCCCCATTCTCCCTTCCAACATAGGTGCACACATGCACACACATGTACGCAACATGCAGGAGGAACACGGATGGGACATGTGTGAGAGTTGCTGCTGGGAATGGAGCTTTCGGGGTGCTGAGGTGCTGAGGTCTGAGATTGGAACTTCTGAGGGGGTCCGCCCTACCCCCTTGGTTTGGATCTACTTCCTGGGCTGCCTTGCAACGGGGACTTAAGCCGCTTTAGGAAGGAACCTTCTCTTGCTTCCTCTTCACCTTGGTTTTCCTAACATCTGGCAGGGGTCAGGAGCCATGATCCAAAATTTGGTACCTTCCATCTCTCTAGATGATTGCCCTGGGGGGATGTGGTTAGGGAAGGCCGTCATCACAAGCAGTGATTGGACCGGGAGTGCTGAGCTGTACATCTTGCATTCGCCCTCAAGGCCCACCGTACCCAAGCAGCCCCAGAGGCTGATCTCTGCAAACTGCATCAGTCCCACTTGCCCTCTGGCTCCTGTTGGGTGCCACTAATGAAAGGAGCTGGGGGAAAGCGAGGGCAGGGCGAGTGCTTCCCCGGCCCTCCTTGCCAGATTGCTGCTGGGTTTAGCACCTCCTTCTGCGGAAGGCTCGGCTCCTTCCCAGCAGCTCCTGCCCCTCCTGTGCCATCAGGTACAGGGTTAGGAATGGCCACCCACTGTGGCTGCTGCCGCCTGTAGGTGGTCTCCTGTAGCTCCTGTAACCCTGCCTGCCTTCAGCATGCCCTGAGCTCATGCCATCTGCTTTCTGCTGGGATCCTGACTGCAGCAAGCGTCCTCTCAACAGCTCTTCCTTCATAAACCTGTCCCAGCCGGTTGAAGATTTGTGTATTGGGAATCTCGAACCTAAATATCCTTTCTTTTCACATTACTAATTGCCCTGCAAAATCTTTACTGTGTGTCTCATTGTACCAAACACTTGAAACTGTGAAAATGGTGATAGGAAAGTTACATTCCTTCCACAATGAATCCATTAAGTTATAAATTACATACTGATATGGTTTGGCTGTGCCCCCACCCAAATCTCATCTTGGATTATAGCTCGCATAATTCCCACGTGTTGTGGGAGGGACCCAGTGGGAGATAATTGAATCATGGGGGCTGTTTTCCCCATACTATTCTTGTGGTAGTGAATAAGTCTCACAAGATCTGAAGGTTTTATAAGGGGATTCCCCTTTCGCTTGGTTCTCCTTATCTCTTGCCTGCCACCATGTAAAACGTGACTTTGTTCGTCTCTCGCTTTCTGCCATGATTGTGAGGCCTCTCCAGCCATGTGGAACTGTGAGTCTGTTAAACCTCTTTGTCTTTATAAATTACCCAGTCTCCAGTATGTCTTTATCAGCAGCATGAAAACGGACTGATACACATACACATGTACTTTTTCCTACCTAATGATTCAGCAGTGCAGGAACAATTTGATACTGATGACATGTTTAAAGTGCTTGGGTCTCTCCAGGTTGCTTCAATTCAGGATGATGGTATGCTAAATGATTAAACAGGTGATCCTAGGGCACGCCTTATCAGTGACTTTATCACAGAGAAAGCAGGCTGGACTTCAGGATGAGGGTGCAGGGAGCGATACAGTCAGACGTTCATTTGGGGTATGCCACTCTGGCTAACATGGGAAACTAGGATTTGAAGGAGGCAGAGAAAGGCTAGGAAGAAGATGAATCTAGCTGGGAGTTCATTGAAGGCAGTTGCCCACGTGAGAAATGGCAAGAGTCTAAGCCAAGGCAGAGGAAGACACAAAGGCAAAGTGACAAAGATGAGAGGAAGGGGGCCCAGGTTCTTGCCTAAGCTCTCCCGTGACCTGTGTGACCTTGAACATGTCAGACCACTTCTTTGAACCTTAATTTCCTCATTTTCAAAAATGGAATTGGTCTGGATCATCTCTAAGCATCTTTACAAATGTTTGGGAGGCTCAATGGGAAGGCTGTGGTGATGAGAAGAGGATAGGGCCACCGGCTAAGATAGAAACAAGAGGGATCTGGGATTATGATGATTTATTGAACCTCTACTCCACTGAGCTATGTAACCTCAGGAAAGTCACTTTCTCTCTCCAGACCAACGTCTCCAGTTATTAACAAGGGTATGAGATTAGATCACTGCTTCCCACATAGAGACCCACAAGCTTCCTGAGAAAAGCTCCATGGTGGGATGAGCTTGGGAACTGCTTTCTGCTGGGTCCTCCCCTCAGAGATTGCCACGATGACATATCAAAGACTTGGAGGAGTTTTACCACAAAGGGACTTAAGGATTGCAATTGCATTTGGCGCGGTTTCTCATCTCACCCCAGAACCTCACTTTCATGTCTGCTGACAACCCATAGAATTGGTGATTTGCAGAGGCTCTTGGGGAACCGCTGCTGGCTTGGATCATCTAGGTTCCCTCCTTCTCCATGCTTCCCTGAAGCCATAATCCCAAAGACTCACTGTCGCAGCCTAAAATGGGCGTAGGCTCCTTTTTCCTGTGGGAACAAATGTTCTCTTTCTCAAGGCAAGGGAAAGTTTGGGGGGACCATCTTTCATGGGAGAAAGAACTGTTTGGATTGTAAGCTACATGTAGGGTCTTTACAATTTTTGAACAGTGGTCAAAACTCATCACAATGACCTTGAAATGCAGCACATATTGGGAATAGACCCTGTCAAGCATCTAAATCCCCGAGAGGAAGAATGTGAAAAGGAAGGAATGATAACACAGGAAAACAGGGCTGGGCCAAGAGAGGGGGCAGAGCTAGGGATGCCCACCCGGGCCAGGAGAAGGCAAGGGTTAAGGCTCATGTTGGCAAAAGTACCTGGGGGAAAGAAGAGGGAAGAGGTTTCTATCCCAAGGACAACCCCAGTAGACAGAAGAACTCTGAGTTTTGTTCAAAAAATGACAATGTGAAAAAATAAGAAAAAGAAAAGTAACCATTCTTTCTGCATGTTAACATGATCACTTGAGGACGTTGCCTCTTGCACTGCAATCACCATGCTCATTGGCCTGTAAACTTATTACTTCCACCAAATAGAACAGAAAGAAACAGAATATATTTTGATGCATCCATGTCAACATCACCACACACACACACACACACACACACACACAAAAAAAAAAAAAAAAAAAAAGCATAGAGAAAAAGGGGTATCCAATGGTGGAAAGAACTTTTTCTGGAGAAGTCCCTCAGGTGAACATGTGCCCCCACCTTGGTGCAGGCAGAAGTCAAAGGAACTGAAAATTTTAGCCCTAGCAGACATTGGGGCAAAGCACAGAACATACCCTGAGGCAGGCATTAGGCAGGAGAATGGCCATCAATCCGAGTTCTCTTAAAGAGGCAATTGGCCCGTGCCCTTGCGAAGACACCTGCTCTCCTGCAAGGATGGACCTGGGACACTCAACATCCTGCTGGGCTCACTGAGGCTAACCCCCCAACTCCCTACAGTCAGCCTCCCCATCCCAACAGGATCCTCCCAGCCAGGGCTGCACCTCCTCTGCTCACCTTTGCCATCTCATCCTTCCAGACCCCAAGCAGGGGAGGTCACCTCCATTGGAAGGCCATCCCTGAGCTCTGGGACAGAAATCTTGCATCCTCCCTCCATGAAAGCATAATGCCTTTAGTCTCCATCCATTACTGAAATGCATGGCCTTGCTAGGCTGGTTTTTATATACCGACTGGACAATTCAAACCCAAATGCAACCTCCTCCAGGGCAAGAACCTCACCTAACACTCGATTATATCCAGAGTCTAGCACGGGGTTTTAGCCCTGAGAGAAAGCTCGGACTCTGGGTGCAGTGATTGGCATGGAGGAGCCAAGCTCCTTTGCTCACCTTCAGCTGGGTGGGCACAGACTGCATTTCCACAGACACTATCGGGATTTGTGTTTCTGCAGAGAAATATTTAATTCTACTTTCTGCTAAAGCCAAGTCTCTATTGTTTAATATTAG